TATTTTACGAATCAGAAAATCTTATTCCCAACATAAAGAAAGTATGTGACCAGAAACTCTACCAGTTCAATTAGTTTAAACCATTTGAACATTTCAGGCAATACTGATGATTTGGAACTTTCTTCTATAACTATATGAAACTGTATTTTATGAAATAAAAAGTGTGGACAACGGGCATTGGCTTGCAATAATGGGATTGCAGTTTTGTGCTGCTCATTGCTTATTACTTGGGACTAGTTTCACTTTAAAAAAGTTTATTTCATTTCAAAAAGGAACAGTTCCAATTTTTGTTCTTACAGAGATTTTTTTTTCTTAAAAGTAAATTAGAGCCACTCCCGAGTCAGTTAAAGTATCAATTGAATAAGCACAAGGGGAATCTCCCATTTCTAGCATTTAGCCCGTATATTCGCCAAGCATGGCTCTATCGATATGACCAGTGTCTTCCTCCCCCCCCCCTCTATAAAGGCCTATGGGGGCAGTTCGTAGAGAATGCTAACTACTCTTGGATTAGATTTAAACTTTTTCTATCTTCCACTTTAAACTCGAAATTCAGGATGCGCTTTTCGTTTCAACTTAAAAAACTGAAAGTCTTAGGTAGGAAAGTCTATAGGGATTTGTAGTAAGGAAGTTTATTAAATTTTGGGAAGCTTGTCTTCGTGATTTCATTGTCAAAATGTCTTCACTACTATGGCCAACAAAAAATTGTTGTAGGAAATTTGTTTAAAAAAGTTTTTTTTCCCTCCTCCAACGTTAACTGCATCATAACGACCGAAATTCTGATGCTTTAAAGAAAAAGGCATGCATATTCTCATATAGAATATATTGATAAGTCTTTCATACTAGAAAACTTAGTGAAAATGGTTTTAAGAAGCTCTACAGAAAGAATTTTTTACTTTCTTTTAACGAGAAAAATACTACCATTTCAACAATATACTATCTGCGAAATACCAGCAAACGCCCAAGAGCACAGCAAAATGTCTCCACGTTGAACCATCGCGCAAACTTGTTGCAATCTTATTAAAGTCTTAAATTGAGATGTATTTTCGTTTAACTAGAGTCATCGTGTCATAAAGTTCAAGTGGTTGCTTAGTAAAGAGGTTTAACTTGATACTAGATACTTGCTGAAAATTTGAACAATGCTATGGTAACATCCTTAATTTTTTTTTATAATGTAGCTAAGAACCATGCAAAGTCAGGTCCTCCCCTAAAATAGAGTTGAACTCCGTCAGCATATCTTTTGTCCTATATCTGATATTAGTTTGTATCCGCTGTTGAATATATGGTCCAATTTTGAGTTTACAACTGTTAAGGTTCAACTCCGTAGCATAGTAAATTTTAGCACAACCCAGAAGAGAAGGGGATTCTTGGATGGAGAGAAACTAGCCTTCTTGGAGGACTTTTTGGTGGAACTAACCTGCATTTGCGTTACAAGGAAACCACGAAAACCTCCCACTGATATCCTGACGGCAAGGGGAGTATAACCCATGATTCGTCTACCAATGAAGATATTTTGAGTTAGCACTTTGGTCTATGCGAGCCGGGTGCGGGATTCGTATTGACCACCCCACGCTGGTATTTGAACATGGGTCACCTCATTGAGAAGCGAGTGCTTTAAACGAGAAGAGACCACCGTCTTGCCCTAGAATATGTTCAAAATCCAAATTTATGAATTTAGTTACGTGAATTTGTAGAGGAAAATATACTTATTTTTTTGTTATAAAATATGCTAATTTGCCCCGATAGGAGAATATACATTAACCGCTGAAAGTTATTTGTCTCTTGCTGCGTTTTACTAATCAAACAAAAAGTAAAATGATTGCAACCTCTAACATATAAACTCGATGTTTTTGAAGCTTCAATAAACAATATCAAGTGCTTTTTACTCCTATTTTAGTTGAATTAATAGCTACATTTAATTCTTAAAAATCAAATTAATGTACAATCACGTAATTAAATAACAATTTATGAAAAACAAATTATCAAGCAGTAACTGTTATAAGTATAGTTGTTAAGCTTTTGGTAAGAAAAAAAAACTAAAAATATTATAGAAAAATAATTAAAATTTCACTATTTTCTATAAATACTGTCAAATTTAATTGCATAACTATAAACTTTCCTTTGATAAGTACTTTGACATGAATATTTTATTAACTTCAGAGTTTAACTCTGGTTATTGTATTGTATTTTATTAAAAATTAAGAAAAGATATTCTATAATTTGTATGAAAATCAACTGCAATGTTTCAGTTCTTTTTCGTGTTACATGGATTAATTGGATAAATATTTTAATGCGCAAATAATATTTATATTATGAATTCTAGATTTTGAAAAATTCAATAACTGCAGTGCTGAATATTTTTACAAAAACAGATTAAAAAGATATTAATTTTCAAAAAAAAGATTCATAAAGAAAACTCTAAGTTATATTTTTATCAAAATTTTTTTATTAACATTCCTGATAAACTTAGTATTCTTTCACAGTAAAACATTACTTTCCCTAAATTTTCATTTATATTATTAAATCATTATGAATAAAAAAATTCTTTTTCGTTTATAAGTTTTATAAATAGAATGACAGTATAGGGGAAAAACTTATTGTAGCATTTAATTAAAATTAGAAATAATGTTTCTTTTAAGTTAGCGTATAACGGCAAAATTTTATTTTCATTTTTACTATCCATATTTTCACGTCTAAGATTCTTAAGCATTACCTAAATAAATACTTCATTCGCTTAAAAATCATATAAATAGGAAATAACAATCAATATGCTTCAAGCGCTCAAAAAGCGGCGCACATTTTCATGACTTGTCAGGCGTAAATGAAAAGAAGCTGAAGTAATTTGAACTATAAAAAGCTAAGTTGAGGCCGAAAAGTGGAAAAATAAGGGTGAGAAACGAAACTAGAAAAACCTTTGTAGCAGAGAGCGGAGAAAATATGAAAAACAGAACCAGAAAAACAACAGTGGCTGAGAGGGGAAAATGCATTTCCATGAGGTATGGAGAGGTTGTGAGGAACTAATATCGTTAACAAGAGAATCAGTATTAGTATGAATCAAACAAGATTCCAGGGCATCAAGATGAGTTGATGTGACTGAGGTGTAAATAATTTTGTCATTGTCGAAATTGAATTTATGGCCCAGATTCCAACAGTTTGCAACAATTAATGATTTCCCGTATTCTTAAAAACAGAAATATCTAACGTGTTCCTTAAGTTTAAAGTTCCTTATCGCTTCAGTTTCTTGGGATTGTTTATTTAACTCTTAAGCATATATATTGAAATTTATTTCTTAATGCAAACTGTACAATTTTTATAAATTTTATTTCTTAATACAATTTATTTCTAAATGCATTGAAGGCAGAAACTGAGAAAGCTTCAAATATCGCATAAAAAAGTTTCTATTTTAAAATTGCGTTTTTCTAAGATTTTAAAATTCTGAAACGAAAAAGAAACCGAAACAAACAATTAGATTGATGTAAAGAAAGAAAAAAAAAAACTCAATCTCAATCCATTGGAAAAATATCGAAAAAGGAATATTGATGCACAGTCAATTTGTGTCATATATTTAGTCAATCATTTGAATCATCGCTTCCAAGAAATAAAAACGTCTCAGAAAATGTGGTGAATATTTATTACTTTCTCCTTCTCGGTTCTTTTACTGAGTTTAGTGGACTAATGAAATCGTCAGAGATTTTTCCCTTCGACAAAAGAAAGCGAGGAAAGAAAGAAAAACATGTCGAAATATGAAGTCCACTTTTCCTTTAAAACGAAGAATAGAAAAGAATCCATTTCAATTGAGATTGGAAAGGGGAAAACGTTGAAAAGCAGGCGCGCCCATGAAGCTTCGTTATATATCCAGATTTGCTACTTCCATTGTTAAGTGAAGCCTTGACAATGGCCCACCGAGCTGGAGGCGTTTTTCTTGTTAACTCTCAACTCGTTTACACTCTTCCCTCTTTTCTTCTTTTTTTCCCTATCTTTCTCTTCTTTTTCCCTCTTCTTGAACGTGGTCTTTTGTGTATAGAGACGTGCGACTCTATTCAGCACATATTTATCGTGGAACGCGCGTCGAAGGAAGATAAAAAATAAAGGGGGGGGGATAAAAGATAGACAGAAAACCCCACTCGATACACTACAGTAAAGCAGCAACTACCAAATATACGATAGGGAGAAAAATGTTAAAGATCATTGTGTTTTTTTCCATATGAGTAGGGCGATAGTTGTTCTTCACTTACGAGCTTCCCCTGGGAATGTCTTCCCGGCACAGCTCTCGCATCTGTAATGAAGAGTTCGATCCCCAAGTTGCCTTTCTTTTCGACACTTTGAATGGAATGCATATCGAGCGTTTGCGCAAACCGCACGACACATCAGCATACAAATGCCTTTCCCCCAGCCTCGCCTCCTCCTGACTCCCTAAGGACTCGTAAGGACACCGTAGCTGATAAGGAAAAAGAGTTGCATAAATAAACAGTCTCTTCCTTTGACAAGCAGTCCCTTTCCTGACTACCTGTGGGCTTCGACCCCTCCGTGAGAAACTTGGACACAGGGTCGCCCAGGAAAAAGACCCCTTGGGGGCATTCGACAAATTTCTCACTTCTTCCCAATGGCCACAACAACGCTTTTATCTCAAAGCTTTACTGCCCTTTTGGGATGGCTTTCTCCACATCATCTATCTTGTGAGGGGTAGGCGGGGCGACATTCTCAGGGTGTCTACGTAAGAGGAATGAAAACGGAGAGAAAAGCTCCCATCCAATCCAGAAGACCCTACTTCAACCCTTTAACCGGAGTGAACCTCCATACATAGAATTCCTTAGTACATATGGGACTTGCGCTTTATCAAACCATATTTCTTTGGAAACCATTAACGGAGGGGGAGTTGATAGTATAGAACGTTTTTTTTTCCTCTTTTTTTTAGGTTAGATTGGCAAAATATCAAGCATAGCATAATGCGCGGAATATGTATTCATTGTTGTAAAATAAAACAATAAGTGTTAAATCCTTACCAGAAACCTCCTCATGTCTCTTGGGTTCCCAGCATTTTTTAAACAATTCTGATTGCACTTCAAGAAGAACTTGAGGAAAAATCTGCAATGAAATAAAATTTTGAGTTTTGAAATATGTTAAAAAGAAAAGCACTAAAAAAAATTAATATATAAAGACAAAATTTAAATCATCTTTTTTCCCCCTCTATTTTCATGTAAGTAAAAACTTAAATTTATTACAAGGATTAACTGTGTATTTTAAGAATACTGTTTAAAAAGCAATAAAAAAAAACTATTGAGGCTCATTTGATAAAATCTTTTCAAACTATTTCTTCGGTAAGTGGTCTGTAAAAAAAAGAAAGAAAAAAAGATCTAGTATTGAAATTTAATTTTTTCGTTCAACTCTTATAGTATTTAGTAATGTGACTTTAAAGATAAAATTATAAAAGCATTCCCGTAACAGCTTATTGTTGGGTGATGCTGGTCAAGGCTCCACAATTCGTGACCAACGACCTGATTGTGACAGCGTGGTCAGCACTGCGCACAGGCCGCCTTTATTTCCCAAACAAGTTGATAACCACGGATCTGAAGCTGGGTGAACTTCAAGCTGTTACTTGATCGAACCCCAATTCTTCAAAATGACAGTTCAGTGCTTTAACCATTGACCAATCGTGGATAGAAGATAAAATTGTATCAGTGTTTATTTTTAGAATTACGTTGATGTTCATAGGTCTTTTTGTTATATCTTTTATTCATTTTTTGTTAGAAGATATTTGTGATACTTACAACAAGAATTTAAAAAATAGAATAAATAAACAATAAGCAGTATAAAATAAAAAAGTTATACTACCTATATTACATTTATTTATTTAGTTAAATTTTATTTTTCACAACATTGTAAGTAAAGTACTTATTAAGTACACTATGCATCGTAAAAGATACCAACTATAATCCTAATTTGTGTAAAATAAAAACCTAAATAATAGCAAACGAAACGTAGATTATGTTAATCTTTAACTATTTTTTTTTTTATATAAGTACAAATGATGACATATTTTATTATGCATATATAAACAGTACTATGTTTATATGGAAACTATGGATAAGTAGAAATTATTATTTTTTTTAAAGTTAAAATAATGAAAAACTTATTTTGTCCTAAAATTAATGGGAAAAAACTACAATTTCAGAAATGTTCAAGTTAGGATATAATTTATTTTGTTTACAGAAATAGAGAGGACGAGTGTAAATTCTACAACAAAAATATATTGTAATTATACCTAGCAATATAAACGCTAAAAATTAAGCAATAAAAATTATTATTCGGGATACTAACGAAATAATTAAAGCAATTTCTCAAGTGGTTTACGTTTTTATATATATATATATATATTATTTAAGTATATGTTATAGTAAATTAAATGAAAAAAAGAAAACTTGAAATCTATGAAAAATGAAAGTTACTAAAAAATACTAGTTAATAGATTTTACAAATTTCCTCATACTCTAAAAATACAAAACAAAAACTGAATTGTAGTAAAATATCTATCTCTGGTATCGTAAAAATATTAAATAAATTCAAAATAAAATGAAGTCTTCTAGTAAAGCAGATTTAAATTACTCGCATAAATAATTTCGGCTCTTTTATTTACTAAATAAAAAATAAAATAAATACTTTAAAAATATCTTTTCCGTTTTAGTATTGATTCCTTTTTTTTTCAGAAGATAAAAAGAATGTTCTTTCTTTAAATGGAATCGAATAAAAAAGAAATAGGAATTTGAGAGAAGCCGAGCAAATTAATCCCCTTCCCCCCTTTTTAAAAATGTCTAAGCGAGAAAGACGCTTTCGGCTAAAAAGCAAGTTAATGTAATGTTTTGCCCCCTTAAACCCTTTATGAACGTTCAAGGTGTCAGTGTTGTAGTTATTCATTTAAAGTTACCAAGTACGTGGAGGATGCAAAGCGGAATCTCTAATTATTCCCGGTTACCATGGTAACCTCATCATCCTCAGGTAGATCGGTGTGTTTTACCTGTGTTATTAAGGTTCGATCACCCCCTGCCCATTAAGTGAAAACAAGTGTTGAGCGGGCTTTACAGTGAGGATGTAAAAAGGCGGGAGAAAGAGGAAAAACAGCTCCTGAACTGTCATTCCCTTCCGGAGCTCAAGGTTCATAAATTTTGCATTCCATAATACATTCATGTTGGGGCAAAATGGAAGTTAGTTTTAAATAATAGATGGCTTTCTGACTTTGCTCTAACATATTCATTTTCTGGCTATAAGCTAGTGCACATATTCACTTTTCCATCGTTTTTCCAGCACTAACAGCCATCCAATCCTTTACACAAGCGAACGGTATCATTGACCATTCCTCTTCCCCATTATATTTTATATACCCTACCCCAGCCAACTGTACGAGTATTTTTATACAACTTAGGCGAGGGAATGTAAAGCGATCATCATTTTTTCATATTATCCAAGGGGTGCGCTCATTAAAATAGCTTCGGTGGCCCCAAAAATTTGTCCCTCGGGCAACAAGAAAAATGTTAGAGAGATAAAGTATGATACAGCGTGCACACTTGTGCATGAGAATATTTTTATTTTCTCGTCTGTACAGGATCTTTTTTTATCCCATTACTCAATGGTTGTACTAGAGCATTATTGAAGAAGCTTCGCAAATGTTCCCAGAAATAAGGCTAAATGATGTACAAAAAAATTTCCGTAGAATAGATGGTTGATCTGTTTTACATAAGACGGGCCGGAACGAAAGGTTATTTTTCGTGTCAAAAATATGAATCTTTGAAGGGGCTTGGATTTGTTTTCTAAAGATGTTTCACGATAAAACCTTCATGATAGATATTATTGGCAATAAATAGCGTAAAGTAGAAGACTGCGGTGATTTATTCGCTATTTTAAGATTTTTTGTAGGATGGATTCTTTAATCTCAATTTATTTCGCTTCTATATACTTTTTTTTGTTTAGATTTTTTTTTCCCGGGGAATTACTTTACTATAATTTATGTGCATCACAATAATATTATTAGTGTACTCGCAGCTAGCCTTTTTTTTTTCAATAAACAATTGGAAGTTTGGATATTGTTGAAGTTAAATAAATTTTAAGGGAATGTGAAGATTTTCTTCATCACAATCGCTAATTTGTTTCGCTCTTATATACTCCTTTTTTTTTGACTCAGGGGATTACTTTACTATAATTTCTGTGCATCATAATAATATTATTACTATGTACTCATCTTTTTTTTTCTTTTGAATTATTTAATAAAAAGTTCGGATGTTGTTAAAGTTAAACATATTTTAAGGGAATACGAAGAAAATTTTATTTCGCTTTTATAGACTTTCCTTGCTTAGGGTTTTTTTTAGTTTTATTTTTTTATTTTTTGTTCTTGGAATAATTTTACTGCAATATATGTACATCACAATAATATTATTAGCATACAATGCAGCTTTTTCTTTCAATAAACAGTAATAATGTTAAGATTTTGTTTAAGTTAATACATATTTTATGAGAATCTGAAGAATTGCTTCACTACAATTTATTTGTTTGTCATTGTTTGTGTTCATGCAGATTTTTTCAATTGCTTTATTATAATTTATGTACATGACAATAACATTGTTTAAATATATGCAACGCTTTTTCTTTTTTTTCAATGAGCAATAAAAATTTCTTATGTTGTTATAAGTTAAATGCATTTTTAGAGAAAGTTAAAAATTACTTCACTATAATTTATTTTCTTATTATTAACATTGTTTGTAAGCATGAATTTTTTTTTCTTCAATAAGCAATAAAATGTTCTATTGTCGCTAAAGTTCAATGAATTTCTTATAGTTTCTTTTAATTTCTTATAATTTCTTAGTTTATTTGCTCTCTAATAAGCAATAAAAAATTACTATGTTGTTAAAATTAAATGAATTTTTAAAAAAGGTGAAGACAGTTTAAGATGTAAAATTAGTAACATTATTGTTCATTACTAATATTAAGAATGCAATGTAGCTGATGTGTACATAATGTGATTTGCTTTGGGATTTCTCGTTATTAAATTTAAGATATTTAAGATGACATGCGCAATAGTGGCAACGAATATGAATAACGTAAAACAGTCCGGAGATATTTAAGAAAATTCAGAACGTAATACCTGAATTCCAAAATATACGAAACATTGCATATACATTTTAAAGCTTTGCAAATTTCCTTGAAAGAATTAATTGTATAAAATTCCTCGGTATATTACAGTTTATACAAAAACAAAGACTCGAAACTAAAAAATATTTCGAAAATACGGTATTTGTACTAATTAAATCAAAAAATTAAATTCATTTCGCTCTTTTAAAATATTATTTCTTGATAGGATAAGAAAAATTGAAAATAATAATAATAAGTTCTTCAAGACTTTTTAAAAGTTTTGTAGTTTAAAGTTATCGTAGTTTCTAATACTTTAAACTTAGCGTGTTAGAATAATCTGTAAGCAATAACGTTAAGAAGTTAAAACTTTTTTAGTTACTCTCAATAAAGCAAAATTTGATGACTAGACACTTCTATCATTTTCCCCCATTTTTAAAATTAAGAACTAGCCTTGAAGATTAGTTGATTAACATACAAATGTATAAAGAAGTCGCATTTGACATATAAATATTATTTCTCGAATAGTTCTTCTTTTTAATTTTAAAAGCGTACTTTAAAATTTGATTTATCAACATTATAGCGTATAATAAAAGTATATTTGACGAATATTCACTGTTTCTGTCATAATTTTTTCGATTTCTAAAAGTTAAAATACAGCGTTTGAAATTATATTTATTAATGTAATGAAAGTGATGTTATATTTTTCGAATGCCCATTAATTCTATTTTTTTTTTCTATTTTTCATAAATTCAAAAGATTAGATTTATTTTTTGATGAACACAGTTCTACATTTGATGAATACATATTATTTCTCTCATTTTCTTTTCATTTTTAAAAAATAAAAATAATAACTATTGAAATTAGTTTTGGATAACAATGTATAATAAAGCCACATTTAGGAAAAATACGTTTATATTTTTAAAAATAATAAAAATAGCTTTTGGATTAAATTTATTAACTTATTCTTAGACATTCTTAAAAGAAAGAATCTAATAATATCTGAAAATTTATTTCGCAGTCCCTACAAATGAAACACTATCAAATTAAGAATAGATTCCTTGATCAATCAAACTTCTGTTAGCAAAGGCGTCTCAATAAATATTTTTGGTACAGTTTATTTACGATGGATTTAATTCAATAGCGTACAACCAAGCGTAAATTACTCCTTTCAGATAGACTTGGAGAGTTTGTTGATTGTTCTAGATATACTTGCTTGTAAATGGAGAAAACCACTTTCTGCCAGAAGATAGAATGAACGCTAAATTAATTAACAGGTTTACCTTAAATGCGTATTATTTGCATGAGAGGATCCCCCATTTAAAGGAACGAACGAGAGTTTTAGGAAAAGATCGTGAGTGGATAGTTTATATACCTTCTTTCGATAAGTTAGCCAGTTTCATCGGCCTGTTCATCAACACCACATGGGAGAAAAAGAAGCAAAATACACAAAGCAGTGTGAGTGCTGAAAGCTTTTCCAAAACTAATCATATTACAGCCGCGATAATGATGATGATAAAATTTATGGCTGTGTTTATCATCGCTACTTGAGGCGGTTCTTTGTATTCAAATATGCATTCTGTCAATTTTTCCACTGGCTTGATCCTTAAACGAAAGAGGCTTCCTGATAAGACCTGATATTGTAACTCGGTGTTTCATTACAAGCAAGCCTTCTCTTACTTATCGCTATTTGAGCATTTTTAAGAGTGTTCTATGAGTTAGGAAGCGAACTAGCTTTTAGGAAAAAAGCATTAATTCACCGATAGAATCGTAAAAAAATAAATAATGTGTCACGTTTCTCAAAAGTTGTAAAATGTTTAAAACAGGGATGTTATTATGGTAGGGAATATTTTCCCAACAAAAGTTATTGTTTATTCGAAACATAATTATCATTCCGATTTAGGCAATATTAACTGGTTATTTTACATGTACAAACACTTTACACTCTTTCGAAAATTTGAGTCTTTTTTTCCTAATATTTAAATATATTGGAGGAAAAAAACGTTCAATATTTAATATTAATAATAAATATTATAAATAATATCTCAATATTATAATATTTAATTAAATTATAGATTTTAGCGCTCAGTTCATAACTATTCAAGTAAGTAATTCTTCAGTTCAGTGTTAAGTTATAATGTAAGAGCTTTAAATTTGCTTAAACCTTAATATGAACTTTAACAAACGTTAAACCATAATATTAGGTGGTGAAGTTCTTGAAGCACGATAATAAGATACAACTCCTAGACCACAACAGCATGTAACCAACCTGTGTTTGATATAAAATTTCCTTAATTTTGCATTATACTCCTAATGATAGAAGCATTTTATTCTTTTTATTATTGCAGTATTATTTAGTTTCATAATAGGAATGACTTCGTCCAATAGCAAGTAGCAAATTGCTAGTAAAAGAAATCAAATATTAGATACAGAAAAACGCAGAAGCGAAAATTGCTAGTTATATTTTATGGTCTTAGACTAGAGACTGAATAGTCTGTTTGCCCGATCATTTTTTAGCAGACCTTTATCATTTTTCTAGCAATTTCTACATGACTTTTCAAATTTTGGTATTTCAGTGCCATTATTACGATACGAGAATTTCATATTTGAGTTGTTACTTTTTCACGCGCTCAGTTTGTGGCGATCCTGCCGTAAATCATCATTATTTCAGTTTTTTTTTACTATTGATAATTTTTTTAAGCTATTTCCACGTGGTTTTTAAAGCAATTTATCACGAATTTCGAATTCGATTTACCAGTCTATTGTCGCATGAACTATTCTTTAAATGTTTAGCTCACTATTAGAACATATAAATAATACTTAGGCTTAAAATTGTAGTGTTGCACTTTATAAAATCTATAAGAATATATTTGTGGAAAATTGTTTAAATATAAATTATAACATTGAAACTGAAAAGTCAAAACATCTTAAGTTTAGACCATGAACATCTAAATTGTAAATTGTAAGAAGTAATAGCATTTTCTTCTTGAAATTTAATTTAAAAACTTTTCATTAGATAACTTTTAAAAAGTTAATCTATTCATCAGCAAAGACAAAGAAATGCAAAATTGTAATTTAACTATGGCGAGCATTGTGAAACTAGTTTAGTTTCAAACAAAAAAGAAGATTCTTCCTTGTTGAATCAAATCGTCACTTTCTTAACATATTTATTTTTAAATGAAAAAAATTTTTTTAGCAGAGATATTCCCACTACTGCATTAATTTTTTTTGTTACCCTCTTTGAGACATTAATAAGTTGAGCCAACTTTAAATTCAATTCAAACTCTGAGTTCACGTTACTTTTCAATGTTTTCATTATTTTTACACAAAAATTTTAAACCATCATGGTGGTTTCAAATATTCATTGGTGGTTTCATTCCATTTGGCCTTTTAATTACTTCATATTTAAGACAAAATACGCTGTAAATTGACTTAGTTTATTAATTTCTTTTCAATGCAAATGATATTTATATTTCTTCAATTAATGTTTTAAGAATGGTAACTCAAACCTGTTCATCGAATAAAATCCGTGATAGCTTTTCATTTGCATTCGTTAAAAACAGATATTTAAAACTTGAAAAAGAATACCAACAGGAGAAGCAACAGTGAAAGATCTTGCATGCATTCGATACAGTGATATCTTAAAATAACTACTGTTAAAGCTCACCATAGTTGACTAATTTATTAATTACTTAAATTGACTTAGTTTATTAATTTATTTTCAGTGCAAATGATCTTTATATTTCTTCAATTAATGTTTTAAGAATGGTAACTCAAACCTTATCATCGAATAAAATCCATGATAGCTTTTCATTTGCATTCCTTAAAAACAGATATTTAAAACTTGAAAAAGAATAACAACAGGAGAAGCAACAGTAAAAGATCTTACATGCATTCGATAAAGTGATATCTTAAAATAACTACTGTTAAAGCTCACCATAGTTGACCAAAGACCATCAACCAAAGTTAAAACCCAATAAGTAATAGGCGATAATATTCAAAGCATCATATTCAAGATCGTTTAAAGCAAATATTTCACATTCAACTCCACCCTAAAAGGTCTGAGACCGTAATAATAAGGCAGCGACCAGTTGCAAAAGAAAATCGCCGGACCAATCACCGATCTTTAAAGAGCAGACAGCCCAAATGGGTCATATGACTTGTCTGCGGCGGCCTTAAAACCCAGATGTCAGTCGCTCTTGCTTAATCCCTTTGAGACCTCTTAAACCAGATTTGGGGATTTACCTGTTCCTCTTAACCTAGGCCCACAGGGAGATCACGAGACGCCTCATGTCCTGTGGTTCAAAGCATTAACTCTACTCTGTTTGGCGATATATTTTTTTTACTTTTTTTAAGCTAAAGTGATCTTTTTATTTGTCTAATCTTTTTCACACGTGTTTCGAGCTTTTGTCGAACTTTTGTTCAGTCAGTCAAATGGCAAAGTATTTTTTATTGAAATATTTTTATTTGTCTTTCACAGTTACTGCGTAGTTATTTATAGCAACTTATATAATTATTTCAAAAACTAATATGTTCGATACTTTTTCAACTTAAAAAAATCAATATTTTTGCTCATATCTATATCTATATCTGTTAGCCAGTTTCATCGGCC